TTAGATTTAGGATTAATTGCTGATTGTAAAAGTTAACTCTATGTAACATGGTATATTATAATTGCCTGGGATTCATAAGATATGGCTGGTTAGTAGTAATATTTTAAGATATTATTATATGAGCATTACTACTAATGAAATAAAGTACATGGTAGTATGAGTAGCCTTTAAAGTAAGTAAATACTACCAAATATTATTAGTCTAATTGCCCTGGACAGCTTTGAAAACATACTGTAGTGACCTACAGCAACTCAGAGTTAGCAGTGCTCTGACTTTTATTCCCTTATGTAACAGATGGCACTCACTGTGAAAGACTGTCAAGCTGTGGGATAGCAAAACATTACTAATAAACCTTGTCATATGTTAAACTTGACCTGACATTAATCAGGTTTGGAATGCTACAAATGAATCATGGATAGTAATTAGTGAGCTGATGCTATTAGCAAGCAGCACTATCATACTGTTTTTTCTTTTCTTTTCCTTTTGGAAAAAAACAATTATGCTGTTAATTTATAGTTGGTGATAATAATATTGTACTATCTTTAGAGTTTTGCACAGTGAATTTTTCTCATCTCCATTAGCCAGCCTGATTTATTGCATTAAAAGCATGACCAGATAAAGAAATGGTTTTAGAGTGGTGTGCAATATGGGGGTATTCCTGGACTCATACTTCCTGCTTGATGAGCAGGTGGCAGCTGTGGGCAGGAAGGCCTTTGCACAGCCTCATCTGGTGTGCCAGTTGTACCCTTTTCTAGATTGGAAGGTCCTTCAGACAGCCACTAATATCCTAGTAACCTCACTACTCAACTATTGTAGTGCACTCTACATGGGGCTGCCCTTTAAGGCCACTCAGAAGCTTCAATTGGTCCAGAATGCAGTGGTGTATGCAATAATGGGCATGCCTCCATATGCCTATGTGTCACCAGTATACTTCTGAGAGAGATTCAAGGTGCTGATTATGACCTATAAAACCCTATATGGCATACGGCCTGGTTACTTGAGGAAAGGCCTATCTCCCATGGAATCAGCCTGGCTGGTTCAGTTCAACAGAATTGATGCACTCTTGGTCCCTTCAATTAAACAATATTATCTGTTGGGGCCCCGGAAGCAGACAGACCTCTTCTCTGTTGCAGGGCCTGCCCTCTGGAATGAGATTCTCCATGTGGCTTCCACATTACTGGCATTTTGGAAACCCTTAAAGACCTTGGGTTAGGGTGCTTGGGGCCCCTGCCAGATTGTTTGTGGGTGTGGTTATCCAGATCTGTCGTTGGTTCTTTATTTTCATAATTATTGTATTCTGCTTTTCAGTAGAAGAGAATATGTGTAGCTCAGGGTTGAACTGTGGAGTCCTTGGGGTTCTCTGAACTTGGTTGTTTTCTTGCAAACATTACGTTACCTGGCTAGGTAACATCGTCAGTGCTAGAATGGGATGAGGTTTGCTCCCTATTTATATACAGTGGCATGCCCTGCCAGTGTTCGTGGGGGTAGGGGTTTTGTTTTATTTCTTCCTCCTCTGGTAGTTCCTCGATTAGGATATTGTTTACTGTTTGATTGTATGTCTGGTGATAATCTTGGTGTTACTCTCTGCTTATCTGGGTGATGATTGCTGGTGAGGAGATGTTCTGGTCTTGTTACTCTCTGCTTATCTGGGTGATGATTGCTGGTGAGGAGATGTTCTGGTCTTGTTACTCTCTGCTTATCTGGGTGATGATTGCTGGTGAGGAGATGTTCTGGTCTTTTGCTTTCTTTTTTATTGTCTCTCTTGAATAGTGTGTAGATGTGGTTTATCCCTGTGTGCCTGTTAATGGCTGCCTTGTCTGAATACCAAGCTTCCAGGAATTCCCTCATATTTTTAGATTTAGCTTGGTCTAAGATGCTGACAGTTTCCCAGGTGAAACTATGGTTAAGTCTGTCCATGTGTTGTGAGATTAAGGAGTT